TCTATGACTCTTTATAAGTAGTGCAAGGCTCCCGAGAGAACTGACTATAAAAAGATCGAAAGACGACGGGTTATGCCCGGCTGACGAGTCTCTAAGGACGAAACACGTGTATCGGGCTGTACAAGAGCCCTTACAAGACCACATGACAAGTTGGCTTGAATAATAATGAAAGGATATATTGAAATTTGAGCTTGGTCTAAACGAGGCACTTGAAATAAAGGTAATAGCCTCATATTCGGCTGTTTTTTCGAGACCTCGTTCAATACAGTAAAATCCGATAAGTGTGTAACATCTTTGACGTTGATGTCTTTATTTGTGGGGAATATATATCTTTACAAGGAACTGACTGAACCGAAAGTCAACATGCTACTCATGAGACTGAAAGGCCAAAATAGGTGTCTAGTACATGGTGTCATAGCGGACATCATGAAAGGCTCACTGGAATGTGAGGGTTTTAACACTTTTCTTCAGATTTCGAGCTAACACGAGGTTTATTCTATGTTTATTTGATAAATGTTCCCCAGTTATCGTCTTCTTCAAGATCGAGCATTGGAGGCCATTCCAACAGCCGTTCGCGCTCGCGTAGTGGCCTTTGTGATCATCCGACGCAAAACCTCTTCACTGAATCCCGCTCAGATAGAGAACCTTGTTCGGCGGTCCAGAGGCGCTTGTTGTCTATACCAATTGTCGGCTGAAAACAATTTGTTTTTCGTGTCGGCAATCCATCCTGTAGTAGTCGGTACAAGATTATAGTGCACAACGATGCAATATTCGCGTCTCATGCTGAATGAAAGACAATTCAATAAATCATTATTGCTTTGGTTGGACTTGATACAACAGTGGGCAATAGCGATCTGATGCGTTTGCCGGATCGCCTCTTGATGAAATCTGGTGCAACCTCGAATATATTAGTGTCGAACAATTTTTTCTCCCCCTTCTCATCTCGTAACATTGAAAACTATAGAAGTAGTAGGTCCTCAATGTTATGTCGACTCAAAGTCGCCGATATGTGCTTGATGTTTTAGTTGTGATTTACAACAAAAGCAATGCTCTGACAGATATCTTCAGGACAGGAAAACAAAGTATTTCCATACAACATCTCGTTTAGAAGTAAAGTGGGAAAAAACTGCTATCGAAAATCAGAGAAAATACTCTGTTATACCTCAAGTCTTCAATAAAAAATGGTAAGCAACAAGACCAAGCAAACTTTTTTTTTGGAAATCCAGCGATATGAGTACTCTATTCAAATATCTAACTAGTAAATGGCAAAGCTTTCACTACATTAGCTTTGTGTTGATGTCATGGTGTCCTTATTTTTCTCGCTATTGAATGAACAGTTTAGAATCGCAGAAACATATTGGAGTATAGAAGATTAGTACGAGCCATTAATAACATAGGCGGGATATCGTCTTACTGACGCAAGTAAGCAGCATTCGTACCTACCTGTAGTAGCACAATGCGATTTCCGGTTTGTCATCATAGAAGCAATTGGTGGCGATACAAGCTATGGCCTCGATATTGGTCGCTTGTACAGTAAGTATTTTCTTGTAACACTCATTGGACTCAGTCACTTCACCAAGTTGCTGAAAAAGGTAAGCTGTTAATGTACGTTACAACTAATAACAAATATAATATCTCGTATTCTCTCTTATTTATAAGCCGTCACGGAATTCATGTGGAGGTTTTCAAACTGGCACAGCTACGCATTCCAAGATCACAGGTGATGGACATCCATACAGATAGATAGTGATGGACAGATAGACAGACACACAGTAAGTAGCCTTGTAATTCTAAGAGTAATGACTAGCATGAAAAATTCTATACCAGGGATGCGTGCTACCATTGCACCACCATAACCATATCGGGGATGCGGCCCACCATTGCGCCACCGGAGGCCGCCACTCTGCTCTTTTTTTCCTTCTTTGACATAAACTATTGTAGCTGTCAGCAACCAACCTTTTATGGGTTTTGTTTCCAAGTAAAATTCGAATTCAAACAAATGTGCACTTCAAATATTTGTCGGCTCAACTAGGTTTAAACGTCGATATGTTCTTGCCTAACCATACCCGTCAAAAGTTGTTTCCCTACGATAGGATATATCGAAGAAAGAAAGGGAGCAGAGCGGTGGCATCGGTGATGCCGTGATAGGATGCAGCCACGATATGGGTTAGACGGGTTTTCAACTTCCGGTTGATGACGAATGCTTTGCATACCACTCGTTTCTCTTTGGTGCATATTTGAGACATCACACTACTGCTAAGAAGGAGTGAAAAGAAGAATTTGTCTAAATTGAACTTTGTAATTGCTCACAGATCTCAGTAGATTCGAAATGGATTTACTGCTTTATTTGTGCCGAGTTGACTCATTGGTGTGATGCATACGTAAACTCCATGCATGGTTATGTACGTGAGAATGGCTATGATTACAAGGGCTGCCTGTTATAAGTTTTTCGACGTTGCCTTTTAGGTCTTCAGTGGAAGAGAATGCGGATATCGTATCTTCCGTTTCGAATGTTTTCTCAAGACCATAGCCCAAAATTCAATAAGCCAAATAATCATTTTTGACCACTCATGTCATGTGGTCTGTTAAAATGGGCTGACTTATTGAGCCCGATACACGTGTATCGGCCTTGTGGTCTCATCAGTCGGGCACTTATCCTTTCGTCTTTTGCTAATCCTGTGTGGGTGCTTGGGAGACCAAAAATGATTATTTGGCATATTGAAATTTGAGCTGTGCTCTCAAGAAAACACTCGAAATGGAAGATATGATATATTAAATGCACTAGCCAAGAGCAATCAAGTGTACAACGCTCTGTGTTCGGTGATAATTTCACTGGACATAAAGAATGAAATGTTTGTCGTCGTTAACTCTCAGTGTGGGAACTGGAGCGCGACCACACAGGATTGGCAAAAGACGAGAGGTAATGCAACGACTGACGAGACCACAAGGTCGAAACACGTGTATCGCACTCTATAAGTCAGTTCATTTTTAACAGACCACATGACATACGTGATCAAAAATGATTATTTGGCAAAATGCGGTTAATCGAAAATCGTTCTTGATACTCAGCAAATATGAAGCCCTTTAGTGCTCAACTCGCATGCTGATTAACGGAATTGTAGGTGACATTAGCTTTTGTTGCAAAGAGCAATGAAAGCTTTCACGCTAAAAGGCATGTGCTGAATCTATAGACGAATGCAGCAAACCTCCTTATTTCTGGCGAGCCCTGTTAGCAAAGTTACATCTTCGTGATACAACAAAAGGCCTTGTTCGTAATACTTGTTCGACATTAGCGGTTGATCAAGACGGCGATATACCTAAAGTCACGTAACGTTAGTTTTCTCTGTGAGGACTTTTTCAAGCATTCATCTTTTTATTATATGTGATAAAAGGATAAAAGGATAAAGCTCTCGGTGTTGATCAATCTCTGAGGGATGCGCCATGCATTCGACTTCAATTTTAAACTTCGTTTGAGGTGATTGAATGCATATCCGGCCTTTACAATGACTCGCGGTGGCCTCCCGCTGAACCGAGTCAGTGCTGCTTATCCTCCCAGACAACTCTGAGACCTGTCTGGTACCATTTTACCGACCCCGAGGGATGGATAGCTTGGTGAGCCATGAGCGCGAGATCGAACCATTGACCTCGTGTGCGACACAGAACACCTCTAACCACTGCGCCACATGCGCTCGATATTATATGTGATAGCTTGAAACAATTCCATAAATTCTGTAAAGCAAGAATTTTTTTCCTCGAATTGTAGTTCTTGCATAATAACCATTTGAGGTTGAATGTAACCACTGTGAAGATTGGTGACTGAGATTTTGAAAGTCTTTTCAAAGTGAAAAGAAAAGTATGACGAAATAGTTGGATAAGTTGCCCCTTTTAGCTAGATTTGCACGAGCGTATTGAGAGCTGTTATGCATCCATTCATCCTGGTCGCTCAGTATAGGTGCTCGCCGTTTTGTGTACAATAAGCGTATCACTTTTTTCACGCCGATCTCAACTTCTTAGCACCTAACATTAGATTTTCAACGGGAGAATTTTATTTCACTAAGCATATAGCAATTCATGCAACATTCATTGCTATTTTCATATTATCTTTTTCATGTGAGTGACAACATAACGTGCTCTACTGCTAAGGTAAACTTAAAGGCGAGAGGCGGAGCACAGCGGAGATACGCAGGCAATGGGCAGACGACGACGTCAGTCAAGCGCCTTCAACTTGCTCGTGCGGCCATCTGCTTACCTTTCCTCTTCTTACTCGTTTCCTTCTCCTTTTCGCTTATCAGTCGCCTACGATTGTTGTTTGTAACTCGATGTGGCCTGGTTCAATTGCTGATTGGTGACTCATACCACATAAAACGTTAAGGTTATTTACCGCTTTTTGCTTGATAGTCGACTGCTCGATGTTGCACAAAGATTGTATTTGCAAACCCAGGTCACGGAGACGAGCCCAGTGGTGAGGGTCGTGGGCGACTCGCCCTGGGGATGGGTAGCGGGCTCGTAGGACGATTTCGAAACATACAATGTGAGACTTATATAACTTATACGGCTATGATACTCACACATCGTCGACTGGCATACCGTCCTGGGGTTTCGTCCTTCCGAGGCGACCACGATGGCCCCCTAGCCCTCCCCCGTCTCCTAATTGAGGTCTGCTAACACTTTAAATAGAATACTCCTCGTCTGTCAATCGGTTCTCGCTCTTTGTCCTCATGTGTTTAACCCAGGTTGACAAACTACTCATGTTCCGAAGTTGCTATTAGTCGAGCTACTACAGTGCATTTAACGGTTGTTACGTGATATGCCTTTTGATCCGTTAATTGTATTAGTTGGTGGATGTGCATGTATCATATGTAATTATTGTTTATTTTAGGTTGTTTTTCTCAACGCGATTTATTCTTGCTGTATTTTCTGATATATTAGTCCACGTGGCAGGCGTACAAACACATATCAATCAACAGGTCATTTACTACTGTAATCAATCCAAATTTCGGTGCATTGGCCGGGAATCGAAGCAGAGTCTCCCGCGTGGCAGACAAGCATTCTACCACTGAACCACCAATGCAGGAAAATACCAAACTATCGGAAAAAATGCTCAGTGAGATAACTCCGTCTTTGAATTTTTTTCTGGTCCAGCTCCACGTGCAGCAAAAATGAGACCACAAGATTGGCTAGAGGTTTCATCTAATACATGCCCAAAACACCACACGAAGCCCATGTTTTGATGAACTTCATGTTGTCAGCAACTACTAGATACTTACTGAGCACTATCCATAAGGTTACCATAGTGCTCCTCGTCGAGTCGGGCGACCTCCCAACCATGCTGCGCAGCCAACGAGTGCTGCTTGAGATGTGGCTGATCAGTCGACGTAATCGTTCACGAACGAAGATGACATCGCCGAAATGAGCATGACTGCTCAGGAAATCGAAAGTGCGGAGAAATTCAACTCAACAGTCGAGGCCTTGGAGACATCAGAACCAGATGGAGAATCAGAAACTCAGGAGTCAACAGGAAATGTCAGTTCACGTTGTGTTAGCACTGATGCCGAAATTGAGCAGTTTAACCGACAGTTGAGCGAGCCTGTGGCTGGAAGATCCGTCCTACGTTAGCTGATGTCCTGCAAAGTGAATGGGGCAGTGCGGTGGTAGACTGCGAGCACGTATTCAATGGATAGGAACTCGAACGTTCATTTGAAGAACAGGCCATTGGCCACCAGTACACCAATCGATCGCGAACCACTCAAAGATTTGAAAAAATCGCGCTTATTCGGTTAGAGAGAAGGGGGTAACTTATGGTAGGCAACGAGCTTCAAGCTCGTACAATGAAGGTCATTGGACGCCTCCGCAAGAAAGGGATTCTAGATTCTTGAGAGGGAAGCCATACCATTTTTACCCTTGAATTACCACTTCATATCATGGAAAGAGAGCCTGAGGGAGCGCCACTGAAAATGCCGGTAAGACTGTTAGAACATCAATAATTTTCTTCTTCAAAACAACAAATACTCTTCGTCAAAGGTATGTGTAGGTAGCTGTTCGTCGAGTCAGAGGACCTCCCAACCAAACTGCGGAGCCAGCGAGTGTCACTCGTCGAGTCAGACCGCCTCCTAAGCAGACTGCGGAGCCAGCGAGTGCTGCTCGTTGAGTCGGACGACCTCCCAAGCAGGTTGCGCAGCGAGCGAGTGGACGATGACGAACAGCCACTACGGACCCGAGACGTGAACGATGACCAGCAGAGCAAGGAAGAACCTGGAGAGAGACGATACAACCTACACTCACGAACAAAGACGCATGACGGTACAACGTCGACAACGCAGCAAAACAATGCCGAAGACTTCTAGCAAGATTCAACGACGCCGACAACAATCAGACAGGCCTAAGTTTACCTTTGTATCTTTCATGTTTTACGTTACTAACTACTACATTGCAGATCTATCGAAGTCGGGTACCAAGAGCGACGAGCACAGTAGGCAGAATCAATCGTCGAAGCAGCGAGCACAAGGGAAGTGGAACCTTTCAAGGGGTCCGACCATAGCATTTCATGCAACATTCATTGCTATTTTCATATTATCTTTCTCATGTGAGTGGCAACATAACGTGCTTGATTATTAAGGTAGACTTAAAGGCGAGAGGTGGTGGTTACGCTACGGCTACGGAAGGACTGATACACAGCGGAGATACGCAAGCAATAGGCCGCCGACGACGGCGGTCAAGCGCCTTCAACTTGCCCGTGCGGCCGTCTGGTTACCTTTCCTCTTCTTGCTCGTTTCCTCCTCCTTTTAGCTCATCTATTGCCTACGATTATTGCTTATAACTCCATGTGGCCTGGTTCAATTGCTGATTAGTGACTCATACCACAAAAGACGTTAAGGTTGTTTAACACTTTTTGCTTGATAGTCGACTGCTCGATGTTGCACAAGGATTGTAAATGCAAACTCAGTCACGGAGACGAGCCCAATGGTGAGGGTCGTGGGCGACTCACCCCCGGGGATGGGTAGCGGGCTTGTAGGACGATTTTGAACATATAGTGTAAGACTTATATAATATATACGACTATGATACTCACACATCGTCGATTGGCATACCGCCCTGGGGTTTCATCCTTCCGAGGCGACCACGATAGCCCCCTGGACCCCCCGTCTCCTTATTGAGGTTTGCAACCCCTTTGCCCTCTGATTAAAATACTCCTCGTATTGTCAATCGGTTCTCGCTCTTTGTCCTCATGTGTTCAACCCAGGTTGACATACTACTCATGTTACGAAGTTGCTTCAAGTCGAGCTACTACAGTGCATTAGTTCGACGGTTGTTACGTGATATGCTTTTGATCCGTCAGTTGTATTGGTTGGCGGATATGAATGTATTATATGTAATTATTGTCTATTTTAGGTTGTTTTTTCTTAACCGCGTTTAATTGTTGCTGTATTTTCTGATAAATCAATCGTCGTGTCAGGCGTACAAACACATATCAACTGACAAGGCATTCACTATTGTAATCATTACTGAAATACGTTGTAGTAGTGGTTCGAAAGTTCACAGAAATTTTAAATTTAGGTACATTGGGATAAAAATAAGGCTTAGTAGTGCAGACGTTATTCTTTTCTCTTAGAGGAAAATCTCTGTTTCTAAGATAACTTTAATCTTTCCTCAAACAAGTACGTCATCATACAGATCATTATGCACACAACATAAGCACCTTCACTGATTTGACACATTACCATGGCTCAAAATCTCGGCTTCATTAACGGACGTTCTTGAATTTGCGTGCTAACAAGAGATTTTTCTTGTGAACGATTGCACAGATTTTTATACGAAGAAAGCGATGATCTGATTGAGTTTAGAATGATAGCATTACAAAGCTATTAACAAACTTCTTTTGATATGATATGAATGTAGCTGATCAAAAAGTCTTGCAATCAAACAACTTCTATGTATAAAGTCGATTTTCTTTGTTTCGACAATGGATATCCAATGAAGGTAATTAGGTTCTGCAGTAACTCAGCAAGATAGGTTCAGCTAATGCGGTCTCCTAAGCCAAATTTCTCATTCTTACATTTACAACAGACCACTGCTAAAGTAGTTCGAATAATCCGATAACTTTATGAAAATTTCGTCATGTCATTGAACAAGTCAAACAAAGACGTTCTCGTAAGCTCTGGTTTTCTTTTTGAAATTACGCGAATAAAAAAAAAAGCATCAGCGTTTCCTGAATTCTGAGCTATATTTGATCTTTTACTGCTCACAGGATCCGTTTTAGTGGCAGCAAAAAGCCGAATTTCATCAGAAAAGTACCACACTTCTAATGGAGAGGAGCATACCGTGAACGCCGCGCGAGAATTCAGCGACGTGGCGGAAAGGATAACATATGATGCGGAGAACTATCAGAGGAAAGGGTAGATATGGTATTAGTATGTCAGAAAACCGTAATCATAGCAGGGAACGATGAAAAGGAGTAAAGGACGCGATAGATAGTTAGTTTGGAAAGTACTTATACCCAAGAAATTCAATGAATATGAATACAAGCTCAGAATAAAAACGCGGAAGAAGTAAGCTGGTAAATGTGTGGCACTGATACGTCTATGACTAATCAAATTATTGATCTTGGCGTAGTAGGCAGTCACTTATCCAAAGGTAATTGTACCAACATGATACTATGCAGCAGAAGCATAAAAGGATGCCACGGTTTTATCGAGAACTTTGCACATAACAAAACCAGGTAATATCTGTCTCCGAAGCTGATCTAAAATCCACTTTTCTCTCTTCTGTCCTTAAGATCTATCAAAAAGCGTCTGAAAAGCCGATAGACTAATCATATAATGAGGAAGAAAATGAGAGGTGGACGAGAACAGAATTAGAGTACCTCGCTTGGAATTTGCTTGAGATCGAATCGGTATTCAGATCGTCATGGGCACTTAAAGTGCAAGAAAGCGGCAAATTCCATGATATAGTAATTGTAAAACGAACGAAAAGAATGAGTGAAGAGTCATTTGAATAACAGTAAATAGTTGGCAACAGTCGGTTGTAGAAGTCACCGAAACGTTCCATTGAATCCATCTATGTTTCAGAACAGTGCGAAGGCATTTTTTGCCTTTGTTTGCTTACCTGTCAGCTGGAGACAAACTACATATCCATGAACAATCAGGTAAGAAAACACTTAGTTATAAAGATCTATGTCTGAACTTGTCCGCTTATTCAGTAAGTTCAAGTCCAGTTATAGTAGTCTAGAATGAAATCAGGACAATGAATTGGAATCTTCCCGTTTCTTTTGATAGTAACTGTTCAAGTTCAGAAAAATGGAAATTGGTATACCTTGGCGAGATATGCATAAGTTTCAGGTAGACGATGGTTCTTGAGGGAGGAGAGGAATTGCTTCTCAGCTTCAAGGAATAGACCAAGTCTAAATGTATTTAATTGTCAAGAAGTCATCAAGTATTGGTAATCGTTTGATTTTGCTCTAATCACAATCTGCTTAAACGTCAAAATAGAAAAATTTGAAGCACCTATACACTTAGACTCATAGGTGCTTCATGAAAAAACTTCTGAACGATGAAAAAGATTTACGGAGTTGATAGGAATTTGCATCATGTGAACAGTAAGGAATGATCCTGAATCGTCACACATTCAAACTTTTGCCGTTCATAGTGATGACTGAGTGATAGTAACATTCGTCAGAAGGTTTTATTACAGCCACGTCACATCCGTACGCGAAGCATGAACGATTCACTTATTTTTGGCTAGGGATAAACCAACTAGTACCCCAGCAAAGAAAATAAGGAAGAAACCTCATATAGCATTTTCCGAGCTGATTCTTCCAGAACCAGTCCTCATAATTTGCAGCTTTTGTAGCAATGGCGGCAATCTGAATTTTTTTCAATCTGATTACCGCTCCTTCTTAATAGTTCTGACGTACTTGATGAGCTGTCTTCATGTCTCCTTCGTGATAAAAAAACATACTCGAACAGTTGACGATTCACCTAAAGTATAATTTGTGCAACTGTGATCTACATTAATTTTTTATTCCACAGATAAACTTTTCGATAGTTAGAATAGAAGAGGCTAGTATCGAAACAA